CTGATAAATACAGATGTGAAGTTGTTTTACATGGCACTAGGTATGTTTCGGTTGTTAATAATCTAAACCGTAAGTTGGCAAATATATGTAAAGTTGGTCGTCAACTGAACTAGTCCGATACGTGTTTATTTTGTTTCAGCTGTCGGTGAAATTCAACCCGGGTTGTCCTGCAAACTATAACTGCAGTAAGTCAACGTGCTCGCCAGGATTGAGCAGTGTCATCTACTTCGAAGCTGTTGGACCTTCAGATACGCTACATTACATATTCAGCGATAATAATGGGCCGTCTTTGCTGGTTCTCGTTTCTCCCAAAGAAACCAGTATTCACTTCGATTGGAACCTAGTGTCTCAGGTAAACGATGGCGGTAATTCTACGTCCGCAGTTCCTAAAGTGATTGTAGATGGACCTTTAACGTACGAGATAGGCATCGTGTTCAACAGAGTGAGTATTGGCTGTAGTCGTTCGTTTCATGCTACTTTACGTATATTCGGTATTTGTAGGTGTATCGTTTGAGCGACGCGAAAGACTACAGCAACGTGTTGGATCCGTCTCCTTCGAACTGCGTTGAAGATATTCCTATGAAAGATCTGCGCTGGAAAAATGTTACCTTTTCTACGGATTTAACACGAGCGACGGTTACGTGTACTGGTCCTCTTCTGGGAGATGGCGGGTCTATTTCGATAACGGTAAAGTGCTAAAGCTTTGTTGAACATGTTTCTCGACAAGTTGTGCCTCAGTCAGTTTATTCATTCTGTGACAGAAAGGTTTAAATGATGCTTCGCTGTGCGATTAATATCATTTGTTCACGTTCATCGCTGTAAGTCTTTAGTTTCGACGGGTTACCAGGCCATGTAACCTACTGTATCCTCGATACTGCCTTTGGTTCGACTTGTCGTCACACCATGCATATATCATCCTCTAAGCTTATTACATAAATGTACTCAATAATTGTCGTTGCGCATAACCGTGACGATCAACATTGTTTTTTCAGCGATAGACGAGTTTCTTTTCACCGGTTCGACCAGACAGCGCTGATCTTAAGTCGTTTCACTGTAATCCTCGCTACTGCTGCATCAGATGCGAAATAGGCGAAATGTTCGAAATCCGTGGAACCAGTTAACTGCACTTCGTTTCGTTAATGAACAATGATATTTTTTAGTTATGTAGTTTCGCGGTGTTTAATGTCATAATCGCCTTGGCGATGATGTGTTAAGCGCCCTGATGTTAAGAAACGCATGGAGAGACGTTACGATTGTGAATGGTTAAATGATTTTTCACATATACTTTTTTGGAGCAGCCAGTGCCTACCTTCTGCATGTCTTCCAATGAGGTATCTCTGTGGCATTTTCAGTAACCTTATCTATCGATTGTGTGAAATAATTGTCTTTGTTCATTCATGAACTGACGGCACCGAATGAAATACTCTGCACTGCTTGCATGTTCACAAATGGCAAAGAGTTCTGTGTTCGACTCAGATGCTTTAAAATTTTGTTTTACCGAGGCGTTCAGATATGAATTTTCGCTCTGCTTGCTGTGATCATTTTAAACAGGACAATTTGTTTAGAATACCTTTTTTCCCTCGTTTTGCTCTGCAGTGTTGCTCTTTTTCATCGTGCAACAGCGCTCATTACTTGTTTCTATAACGACGACAGTAAACTTGACATTCAGCCAAAGGTAAAATGTATTCAATTATATGTAGATGTAAAGATTAATTTACCAACCTCAAAATGCCTTATGATGGCGCATTATATTACAGCATGCTTTGTTCTCCGGTGCCGAGACCTCCACTTTATTGCCAACTTCCTCCGGATACAGTTGCATTTTGCAAACTTTCTTCGCAGCATCCCGTGCACTTACGACCATCGAAGGAGAATCGCCGATACTACGTATGAAAGAAACAAGAAAACAACTGCAGTGTCTTTGAAGAAGTCGACTGCGTGAAACGAACGATGCCGAGGACAGTCTCTGTCAACGATAGTGACAATATACAATCTCCGCCGCCAGGACTACAGTTTTATCATGCGGGACGTTGCGATATGAGACTTCAAAGAAATTAAGTAATCTTCATTTTAAAGCAACTAAGACCTTCGTTTGTAAGCACCCTAAAAGCCTCTTCTCTAACAATTACATAAAACCGTAATTAACATAGGCAACGTCTGATGCTTGAAGGATCTGATGACTGTTTTGAGTAAAGGCTTAAACTTTAATGCAGCATAGAAATTCCGGTCCCCCGTAATTTTAAGAGCGACTTAGTAAAACCCTTAGTGAAAGATTTTAAACGTTTGGTAAGTCTAACTGAACCACTTTAATCTGCCTTGACCGTAACAGAATTTAAAGCCACAAAATCTTTATAAGTAAACAGTGGCATTATGCGTAAGGAAAAAGATAAAACAGTGATTATATATAAGTTAGATTATACCAACAAATGTCACGACGTTCTCAACACCTCTTACCTCCCCATATATACCGATCCTGCCTCCTTTCTTGTCCATAAACTTCGATTACTTTTGTCAGAAATGACCTTCTAAATTGCAAGTTCTTCAGCTTTATAGGAACACATCTCAAATTCACGTGTAACCTTCTGGCACCGTACTTTTACAGCTTATCTAAAGCAGTTAAGCCTAATTTCTCATTCTGACCTATAGCCTGTAGTGTGAACTGTTTTTTCGCAGAAGTTTTGAAATTTACCACTGAAATGCTCATACCTTTAAGTGCATAAAACCCATCTTAGACAAGTTTCGCAGAGAACTGAAACAGATCAAGACTTATTTACTAGTATGTCCTTTGACCTTACTATTAAAATAATTGATAAACTTCTTGAAGAATTGATAACTCACTGTAACAACGTACTAGCTTCTCTGTTGACTATGTTGTAAAGCTAATAACTTTCTGTATCGTAGAGGCGAATTATTTCTCGTTCGATGGTAGTTTTGTTTAATAAAACTATTAAACAAACCAAAGGATCATCCTTGGCTAACTGACTTTCCCCCATTGGTGCCAAATTTTTCATGAGCACTTTGAAAATGTGGCTCGAGACACGAACCCAGACTTTTTTCCAATGGTTTTGAAGCGATATTTTGATTATACTTTTGCAATCTGTCCCAGCTGTCTAGGCTGCGTTTACAAATTACCGGGTAAAAGCGGGAAATAATACGTATTATGATCATGGGACTCGGTCACTCAGATAACAAAGGCCTACCTGTCAAGCTTGGGAAATGGAGGATCACGGAAGAGCGAGAGCGATGCGTGATAACGAAGAACCCGGGAAGAAAGTAAAACCACTCTCCCA